GGGGTGGGGTCAGTGGATATTTACCTGAGATTCTAAGCCAATTGTGTGCCATTCTGTCCTAAATAGCAATAACAAACCATCATCCATGCTGGGTGATGACTTTCCAGCGTAGCTGTTTGGGGTCAGCCACACTCCGGTCAGTGACCCCTCATCCATGCTGTCTGTAAGCTCCATAATAAGCTAGTGAACAAGCATTCAGTAAATGAACTAGTGAGTGAATTAATGAAGGAGGTTCCACAACTACACAGAGCATCTCACTCGGTCAGGTGACTGGGTTGCCCTGTGGCAAATGCGGCCAAGGTGTGGACTCACACCTCCAAAACAGAGGTGACCTCACACTGGCTCCTCCTTCTTTCCCTTTTCCTTGGGGCATAGAAACCCCACCACTGACTGCATGGCACACCCCAGCACACTTCCCTGGTCTCCCCACAGACCTGCATCATCAACCCTTCCCTGACATCAGCTCTCTACAGGACAGACCAAGGGCCCTTAGAACCACCATGCTCATCTGCTAAAGAACGAAAAAGGAATAGCAATGTCTGGGCCCATTCTTAGAACTTTTATTCCAAGGAGTGGAGGGATGGCTCAATGGTTAAGAGCACCGGCTGCTCTTTCAGATGATGTGGGCTCAGCGCCCATGCGGTGGCTCACAGCCATCTGTAACTCCAGGCCCCAGATATCCAGAATCCAATTCCCTCTTCTGGCCTCTGTGGGCACCAGGTACGCATGTGGTGCACGTGCATGCAGGCGAGACGCTCTTACACTTAGAATAAAATAATGATGATATTTAGTTTAAAAATTGTTTTAGAACTTTTATTCCACTGGGCACCATCAAGGCCCAAGTATTGTAAGTTTGGGTTTTTTCTGTGAGGATGTTAGGTGACAGAGGTGGGAAGAATCGAAAAGCACCTCCAGGACCCAGCTGCCAGAAACATCCACAGGCTCTCAAATGTAAATGGGATCAGAATAGAACAACAGCAGAGTCCTCACCCCATTGGTGCATGCAGTCTTCACCTCTGGCCATGATTATAGCCACAGCTCTCCTGCCCCTTCTCTCTCACCCAGTACCTCACTCCCTCAACTCCTTTCATTGCCTTCAAACATGCCACCTTGTCCCCACAGCAGGGCCTTCTCTCCTCCATCACCTGCCTGGCCTGCTGGTTCCTTATACACAGGTTCTTGTCTGGGTCTGAGTACCATGTCACCTGTTGGATGAGGCAGTCACCTCATACTGTGTTTTGTTGTCCTGACATTATCCGAAACCTGACTACTGTGTGTTCCTGGCTCTTTGTCATTGTCTCCCTGTGACGAAGTAAGGGCAGGGACCCTTCCCACCATCCCATTCTTCTCATTGCATTTCCATAGTTGTGACAAAATACCCAAAAAGCAATTCCAAGTGACAGTGTATCATTGCAGGGAAATCAAAGCAGGAACTTGAAGCAGCTAGTCATATCCCAACCAGTCAAGAGCAGAGAGCAGTGAATGTGTGGATGCTTGTGCTTAGCTCACATACAGCCCGCTTTGGCTGGATCTGCCCACGTTCAAGACTATCAGCCACAGACCAACCTGATGCAGGCGATCCCTCACTGAGACACTCTTCTTGGGTGGTGGTGTCAAGTTGACAGTTGGAAACACCCTCACCCACTAATGTGCCCCCAGGCTTGGCACCTTGCTTTACACACTAGATGTCTAAAGACACTCAGTGAACAGATGAGTGGATTTCCTCCCTTAGAAGCTGTTGCTCCTTGGCTGCTCACTGCTTCAGTTCACTCAGGAGGCTCCTAGGCCTCAGCTCTATTGACACATAGACCAGGAAGACACTATCTTCAACCTCTACCCTCTACATGTCAGTAGCACCCTTGCCTCCAGTTGTGAAAACCAAAATTGCCTCTAGACATAACCAAGAGTCCTTGAGTGCAGAGCACAGCCCAACCTGACAACACCTGCTCCTCACTGTCTGCCCTTCTGGTAAAATCAAATAGCCTCAGCCCCAATTGTTGTTCCTCTGGCGCAGTTCTATCATGTGACCAGCAGGTGGAAGCAAAGACCATCCTTCTGGTAATGCAGGGTCTGCAAACATTTCCTGGCCCTGGACAGCTGGCAGCTTCTGGCAGGATTTGTGGTAGTCTGGTAGGAGCTCTCTCGGTTCAGTGTTTACAGTTCTCCTGAATAAACAGAAGGCGTCCCATGTCCAAGGTCCAGGGACAGAGAAGAAGCGGAGGTGTAGATGTTGGCAGGAAAGCAGAGGATTGTCCCAGTTCTGAGTTCCATTCCCATTGCAATCCTTTGCTCCTTGTGCCTTTAGGGCAATTACCACATCTGCCTGTGCCTCAGTTTCCTCATCTATATCCTGCTAGATCTATCTCCATAGTGCTACATGTTTCCCATGCCTCTCTCCCCAATGTGTCAGCTCAGCGATGAAGGCTGGTCCTACAGTCACTGCCCTCAGTCTTTCAAGTGTTTATTGTCTGGTTGGCTGGCTGGTTGAAGGGCAGGTTGACTGACTGACTGACTGACTGACTGACTGACTGACTGACTGACTGACACATGCAATATGTAGTAGGTACTCACTGAGAATCAACTGTGAAGATGATGTCACGGTGGGGGTGATGATGTCATATGAGGGGTGGCATGATAAAGATGGTGTTGTGGTGAACATGATGTAAAATGAAGGTGTCATGTTGAAGATGATGACGTCCTGAGGAGTATAGTGCTCAGATAAAATTGATGATGTCATAGTAAGAGACAGTGACATCATGAAGTTGGTGGTGTCATTGTGGTGATTTGGATGAGAATCCCCACCCCCAACATGGATTCATATGTTGGGTTAATTGGTCCTCAGTTGGTGGAGCTGTGGATTAGGATTAGGAGGTGTGGCCATGTTGGAGGAGGATGTCACTGGGAGTGGGCTTTGAGTTTTCAAAAGCCACCCCATTCCCTGTTAGTCTCTCTGCCTTCTACTTTTGGATAAAGATATAAGCACTCAGCTACTGCCTCAGCACTGTGCCTGCCTGCCACCATGCTCCCTGCCATGATGGTCACCGGCTCTAACCTTCTGCAACTGTGACCCTGAAGGGACCAACCCTCAATTTAGCAGCCATGACAAGCTAACACGTGCTTGCCTGACCTCGCGTTGGTCACTAGGAGGTCAGATACCAGCCTCATGGCAAGGAACCAATCAGAAGTTAGCTAATGGGGCTATGATTTACGGCTCTGGGTATGCTTTATGGAAAAGTACACAGCAATGACCTGCAGAGTATAGCAACCGCCCTGGGAGGGCCTATGGGCCATAACAACCAGTTGACCAATCAACACAGGGCAGGGTCCTCCAAGCCTGGAGGCACACAAATCCTGAGCCTGTGCGTACCCCTAGACACTCCCCTTATGCTGCCCTATAAGATCCTTGTCTAGTGGTTTCTCGGGGTCTTTCCCAGCCATCCCAGTGGTGGATGGATGAAAGGCCTGAGCTAATGGAATTAGCTCATTAAACAACTGCAATAAAAGACTCATTGCTCTTGCATCCAAATGGGCCTCTTGCTGATTTTAAAGTTCAGAATCTGGGCACAACAACCCCAATTTTAACATTTTCTTTTTATAAGTTTCCTTGGTTATGGTGTGTCACAGCAACAGAAAAGTAACCCAAGACAGTTGCTAGGATCTTGAGGTCACACAAGGGCAGTGATGCCATTGGTGACGATAATGATGTCATTTGAATGGCAATGTCACATGAGGATAATGACATCTTAAAGATGCAATGTCATGATGCTGAGACTGGTGTTGTCATCTAATAACCCCCACCAATGGCCATGAAACCCACTGACCCACTGGCAACTCATAGAGTTCCTTCAGCCCAAGGTGCTCTGCCTCCATCCCAGCAGGGTCCCAGTGATTCCTCCCCGAGGACTGCCAAGCTCCACCCACACAGACAGCACTCTCATCCCAGGCCCAGGGAGGGCAGACACCTGGTATGGCTGGACACTGACACAAAGGCAACCATCCAAGGGATTGACTGTGTTTTGAGGGCTGTTCTTATTGACTGCTGCTGCCACCTGCTCCTCTTCCTGTAGGGAGCTCTTGGCAACCTTGGAGAAGCGCAGGGGACCAACGCTGCCCACCTGAGTGGTCTAGAGGGTCTCTGGAACTCGTCTGCTAACATTTCCAAAGTGAACCCTTCATTTACCAGAATGCCTTTCTTACGAAGAACTAGGCCAGACTCTTCCCAACTTCACTCCCTCACTTCCCTCCTCCACCCTCCATTTGCCTCCGCTACCTCCCTCTTATACCCCCACCCCCTCCTATACCACCCCCACTTTCTCTTCTACTCCGCCCTCCCCACCTCCACCCTACTTCCCTCCTCTACCCCCTCCACTCACACACTGGCTGGAGTGACCACTCTGGGAACCTTCCCACCTTGGTGGTAAGACCCCAGAGTCTGACCTCTCCCTGGCGCTACCCACTGTACCTGCCCATCTCTGTGCCCAGGCTGTGTGAAGCTCAGGGTGGCATTTGAGGTACAGGAGACCCACATGGCACTGAGCCTGCTTAGAGAAGCCGTGCTGGGAGGCAGGGTTGCTCTTAAGGGCAAATGTGCCGATGTCTCTGCTGTGCACCTTTGCACATGCTAACTAAGCTCTCTGATCCCCTGACCTTTTCTCACAAAGAAGAGAAGCTGATCCAAAGGTCAGGGCTGAGGACAAAATGAAGTGAGAGAAAGCACGGACTGCATTACAGAGTTCCGAGGTGGTTAGGATTGGCATTTATTTCCGGTGATATGGGTCCCACACTCCTAATTATGTAAAACACACACACACACACACACACACACACACACACACACACAGCAGAGTGGGCATTCCAGAGAGCACAAAGACAGCAGCCAACAGAGCTCCCACAGTGGGCGCCACTGCCCTCTGGCCTCTGTGAAGGGCATTTGAGGAAGAAAAGGTTGTCATTCACTGAGATGGGTCCAAAAGGCTCTGGGCCTAAGGATTTGACCAAACTCAGACAGCTTGGTCCCGCCCCTGTCTCAGGCTGAGTGCTCGTGCTGCCGCCAGGAAGGCCACCCCGGTGAGCAGCTCAGAGACAAAGCTAATCCAGCCGAGGGCCAGGGACCAGCCGAAGCGGATGTCCACCTGGTCCAGCAGGGCCCTCTCCTCCAGGAGGCATGCTGCCTCTCTGAAGGCGGCTGCTGAGTATGCGATATAGATGCTGATTCCAGAGAGGGTCACCATGGCTGCAGGGAAAGACCAGAACAGTCAGCCAAACACTTCTGGCCTGCCCCTCCCCACTACTTCTCCACCTACACCCAGTTCCCTCCTCCACCCTTTTCTTCCCTCTTTCACCCCTCCCCTTCCCTCCTCCCCTTCCTCCTCCACTCCCTCCCCATCCCTCCTCTTCCTGCCTCCACCTCCTCAGCTTCCTTCTTCCCTGTTCTAACTCCTCTTCCTCTCACCTCCTCCCTCCTCCCCTGCCTCCGTCTATCACCCTTGTGAATGGGAACTCCTGGACAGAAGCTATGTCAGCAATTCTGACTGCTGGAATCTTCAATGACTTGGAGGGCTGTACCAACCTTACAGTGCTGTAGGTCGGAGAGCACCAAGGCCTATTGCAGGGTTCTCCCCCACCTCACTGTAACTCACCTACCCCATTGTACCCACCAATGTATTTTTAAAAGAAGCGTCTTGATTTACCACTTCCTTTATTCTGCTGCTATAAAACATTCCTGAATTGCTACTTCATTGAGGCATGTTTGTGGAGACCTAAATCTATGTTCCCAGGCCTTGGTCATTCATATTCAGCTCCAGAAAAAAACCACATCTCCTACCCTTTTGACGGAAGAGCTGCTGTTCTACATACACCTTCCCCTTTTCCACTACCCCCTTAGCTGCCTTCCCTCTACCTTCATCTCCTCTTTCTCCCTCACTTTCTCTCTCCCCTTTCTTCCTCCTCCTCCTCATCTCCCTCTGCTGTGCAGCACTGTCCTCCCAGCCAAACTGCTGCCATCTTCAAGAGTTCTCCCAAAAGATCACCATGGCTAGCCTTGAAGAGTCAGGGGGTGCTGTGTCATAGGACCCTCACCTGAGTATCTAGCTACCTCCATTGTATGAATTCTACCCTACTCCCTCGTGGTCTTGGGGGAAGAGTGAGGATACAGGGAGGGAAGGATGCAGATGCGGGTGTGCTTCAGCCACACAACCTTAGGGAGCTGCCACCCATGCTGCGTGCAGACATTCCAGCGTGCCTGTGACCCCTCACCCAGTGCTCATAAACTCATTGGCTTCCCTGGTGAAGTTTGGTGAGATTGTACCGCATTGGGCCCTGAGAAGAGGGGGCAACATGGTTTGTACCTCTCCCAGGCAGGGATTTTAGCAACACCCTCCTGTCTCCCTGACACACATTCTCCACCCACCACACACACACACACACACACACACACACACACACACACACACACACACACCTTTACCTCCTCATCTTTTCTTTCCTCCCTCCTCTTCCCTCACCTCCCCATCTTCTCCCAAGCCAGCTAGGGGTCTCCCCAGCACTGTCTGCAGAGCCTTTGTTGAGCTGTACCTCTCCCCGTCCTGCTCACCTCTGCCGGCTGGTTCTAGATGAGCCTGAGCAGCCTATGCCCCTGGGACTCCACAGCTTCCCAGCCACCCACAGCCCAGGTCTCAGTTGCCATTTTCCTTTGGGTCTCTCTTCAGGCTGTGAGTCCTGGAAGGTGGACTCCAAGCCTGCTTTTCTTTCCCCCAGCACCTACTGTGCTGACACACAGGTCTCCATAAGATATTGGTTCAGGGCGGCATGGTCCAGGATGGTGGGCACTGGCCACACCTGGGTTTTATTTTGTTTGGGTTTTGTAATGCTGGTGATGGAAGCCAGGGTATTGCACGTACTAGGCAAATGCTCTCACAGGACCTATTCCATTCCAGCCCCTATGAGGGTTTTTACTTTGAAGGATCATTAAATGAATAATTCAGCCCCTTGATGGCTCCAGTTATATGCTAGTTTGCCTCCCGATCAGAAAGGGCCACCATCAGAGTTTTACCTGAGGGTACTGATGTGAGAATTAACCAATGAGTGACACCATAGCCAAGACCATGAATACCCATAGGTAGATACTATCTGTTCCTTGATTTTCTTCCTCTAAGGCTCCCAAGGAAACATCTTTCGTGTGTGTGTGTGTGTGTGTGTGTGTGTGTGTGTGATGTACATGTGTGCCTACACATTCAGAGGCATGAAGAGGACATCTGGTTCTCTCTCTCTCTCTCTCTCTCTCACACACACACACACACACACACACACACACACACACACACCATTCCTTGAGACAAGGTCTTTACTGAACCTGGAGCCAAACTGGGAGTCAGCCCCCTCCTGTCTCCACTCTTGAATGCTGGGGCTACATGTATTCCTACAATGCCTGGTTTGTTCCATGGGTTTGGGGAATCTGAACTCAGGTTGTCTTGTTTGCACAGCAAATAGCTTTACACGCTGAGCTATGTCCTAGGCGCCTCTCTCTCTCTCTCTCTCTCTCTCTCTCTCTCTCTCTCTCTCTCCTGCCACCATGTGGTCGCTGGGAATTGAACTCAGGACCTCTGGAAGAACAGCCAGTGCTCTTAACTGCTGAGCCATCTCTTCTCCAGCCCCCTCTTTTTAATGCAGGGAGCCAGAGAGCAACCACCTGGGCCACAGATCCTCCTAAAGTCTCTGGCCAGCCATGTAGACAGAGCTGCCTCAGCCAATGTCTGCCTTGTTTTGATTGGATTGGTTTAGTTTGGTTTAATTAGGTTTGATTTAAATATAGGTTTGGGTTTGGTGGGGGAGTGTGGTTTGGATTTAGGTTTGAGGGATATGGTTTGATTTGGTATTGGTTTTATGTTTTTAAGAGTTACACTGTATGATATTATCTGGATTTCAACTTGAGAACCTCCGGCCTCAGCCTCCTGAGTTCTGGGGTGACAGATGTGTACAACCATGCCCTGTGTAACATGTGTGCATATGTTAGAGCAGCTTAAGAAGCTATTGAACACATGCATTGATTTACATAGCCTCTTCTTATGGTGAAACACACAAATCTACCTTCTCAGCCACATTCAAGTGCAGTGTGTATGGGTGCATGATATATGGAAGAAATCACCAAAATGGACAATAGGTCCCCGAACTTATCACTACTGCTAAATGAAGCTGGGAGCCATTCAACCAGCATGTCCCCAATCCACATCCTAAGCTTCTGCTCATGGTTGTATCCTATCTCTCTGTGAGCTCTGCTTATTGAGAACCTGCAGCTAAGTGAAGTCACGTGCAATGTGTCCTGTTGTGCCTGGTCAGTCTGACTTCCCATATCAGAACCGCTACTCAGCAGAAGGCAGTGAAGGCAATGTGTGCCAGGGTCTATTGTCAACCCACAACTCTAAGCTGGAAGCCAAGGCCATCCATGGGAGACCAGACAGAGGTGACAGACAGCTCTTCAGCAAGGTGCCAGGGATGGCTCCCAAGGCTGTGCCTTCCTCCTCCTTCCTTGGAACGTCAAGGCTGGAAACCACTGCCCCTTCCATCTGATAGCACAATAGGAAAAGCCTGTACAGGAGCTGAGACTCTGCCCCTAAAGACGGTTCCTGCACGGCACTCGCCACCATGCAACTGTAGAGACTGGACCCCTGGGAAGGGGGAAACCTACCTCCAAAGAGAAATAGGGTCCCAGTGAGCAGAAGGAGGAGGTGGGCTCGGAGGAGGAAGCTCAGGAACCCAGTCATTCCCCCAAACACCATCACGATCAGGCTAAATGGCAACAAGATCACAAATGTCCCGTGCATAGCTAGAAAGAAGGGGGGAACAGGCACAGGAGAGTTAGTAACATCCAGTATTCAATCATTTGCATACATTTACCATGAGCCCCCAATAGTAGGAACACCACAACTATTTCTATTAATAATAACAGTGGAAGACTTCTTTATGTGCATGGTCTATACCATGAGAATCATTGAACTTACTCTCTGTGATCTGTAGAGGGCAGTGTTGTATTATTCTTTCAGTGCAGCATCAAGGGACTGATATTCTAATGAGCATGCAAATGAACAAATAAACCTATGAGATCAACACAGGGACTCCTGGAAAATCTGAGGACAGTTGCAAGTGGGTGAACAGGTGAGAGGGCAGAGGAGATGGGGAAAGGACATTTTATAAAACCCTAGACCCATATTCTGTCTCTATCCCTGGCCCTACCCCCAAATTAAAGGTGCCTCATAAATTCAAGGCACATGACTCATTTTCTCCTGGGGGTGGATCTTATCTCATCCCACATCCTAGAAAAAACTACACACCCAAAAGCCCTTGTGATCTTAATAATGAAACATTAATAAAATATCACACAGGGATATCACAGAGAGATGGCTCAGTGTTGAAAGCACTTGCCAAATCAGCCTGAATCTTTGGATCCCACATAAAGATGGAAGGAGAGCAGCAACTCCACAAAGGCTGTGGTAGATGTGCCCACACACCACACACACACACACACACCACACCACACCACACCACACCACACCACACCACACCACACCACACCACACCACACATAGTAACAACAAGATTTTAAGACCCTATCCTATGGGCTGTTTCTGATATGATCTGGGGCTTGATTATGATGTGGAGACGGTATGTATGTCGATGGAAATCACCTTTTCGTGTGGATGCTAGAGATTCAAACAGGTCCTGAGGCCTGAGCAGCAAGCACTTAACTCACTAAGCCATCTCCTCAGCCCGCCCGGATGGCTTCAACTGGGCAGATGAATAGATGGTGTCTGCTGTGAGCCCAGCTCCACGGTCCAGAGACAAAGATAAACAATTCACAGACAGTACCCCCTGTGGATGAACTAATAGACTGCGTTCAGGAATTACCATCCAGATCACAGAGCTTCTAAAAGCCATTAAATCACCCACCTCAACCACAGGCACACACCAGCACTGAGACAGCTGGGGCAAATGTGTGTGTCCCCCTTTGTCTCAGGATGTGCCAAGCACAGGCTGCCATACTCCCCTCCTTGGGATTCCAGTGTCTGCACCATCATCTGAAAGGCCATGGCAAGCTAGAATGTAGCTTTGCAAACCTCTGTTTCCTTATATGTAAATGGAAAGCCAACAAACACCTCATCCTCTAAGCCTGTATGGTGAGGACTCAGTGCAAAAAGAAAAAGAAAAAGAAAATCAACCATCAAGGGGTTGGGGAGATGGTTCAGTACTAAGTGGCTGCTGTGCAAACAGGGACCTGAGTTGGAACCTTAGTATTTAGAGAAAGTGGGGTACAGCAGCACAAATTTGTAACCCCAGTGCTGGAGAGGTGAAAGATGGATTCTTTCAGCTGTTAGCCAGTCAGTGTAACTGGATCTGTGAGCTCTGTCTCAAAACATAAGGTAAAGAGGCCGTAAATCCCAATGGATCTCTGTGAGTTCAAGACAAGCCTGGTCTACAGAGTGAGTTCCAGGACAGCCTCCAAAGCTACACAGAGAAACACTGTTTCAAAAAATGAAATAAAATAAAATAAAATAAGGTAGAGAGCAATAAAGGAAGACACCCAATATCAGCATCTGGCCCTGTCCTGTGGATTACAACCCAGTATAGGAGAGGGACTTAAGTAACAACACAGGGTGGGGACAGCTATGGAGCCAGGAGATGCCCAAGTCAACACTTCCTGTTTGATAATCACCTGCATGTCTGCAGCTTCCAAATCTAATGTCCACCAGCAGCATGGCATAAAAGCTTGGGGGATGGCTCTGGGGGTGTGGCTCCATAAGTGCTTGCCTGTCATACGGCAAGCCCTGTGTTCCATACCCGGCACCAAATAAAACCAGGCTTGGGTCTCAAAAAGAATTTTAAAGCCAGTCCCACCCCCACCCCTATTCCCTAGCTGAAGAGATGAGTCAGCAGTTCAGAGCATCAGAACCTGTTAAAGACAGGTTCAAGTCCAAGCACCCACGTGGCAACTAACAAACATTTATAACTCCAGTTCTAAGGGGGTCCAACAAGCTCTTCTGTCCTCCATGGGTACTGCACACAGGTGGTACACAGACAGAACACCCATATACATAAAATTAAAAAATAATAATCTCAAAAACAAAAAGTTGAAACCAGGCATTGTGGTATATGCGATAATCCCAGCAGTTGGGAAATAGGGGCAGAAAGATCCAAAACTCAAGGTCATCCTCCACTACATAGTTCACTCATGGCCACCCTAGACTACATGAGACACTGCCAAATCAAAAGCACCGGGGATTTATTTGCTAAATTGTAGAGTCAAGGTGTTCAAAATCAAGGTCTTTGACCCCCTACAGGGCCAGTCCTTCCTCACAGCAGCAGTTTGGGGGCAGCAGTTAGCACCACAGATCATTCCTTGGCTTAGCTCCAGGCTCCACCTCCGTACCTGCCTCTTCTCTGTGCTTTTCCTCTCATAGGAACACACTCATCCTGGCCTTTACAGCCCATCACATTAACCCAAGAGGACCTCCCTTGAGAACCTCAATTACATCTGCACGTTGCTTTCCCCCAAATAAAGTCACTCTCCAATTCTGGAGCTGAGGACATGGGCATAGCTTTTATAAATGTATTCATTTAATGTGGGGGACATGCCATGGCATGCGTGTGGAGGTCAGAGGACAACTTTGTGAGTCGATCCTCTCTTTCCACCTATGCATGGCGGTGTGGATATGAACTGTCTGTCCCCCAAAGGTTTGTGTGTTTGAACTTTGTCCCCAGCTGGTGGTACTGTGTGGGAAGGCTGAGGAATGTGCCCAGCCAGAAGCGGTTCATCACAGAGGTCCAGTGAGCTTTGAGGTTTTACAGCCTGACCTCTTTCGTTTCCCACTGAGTCTTTGCTTCCTTCGTGTGGATGCAATGGGACCAGCCAGCCTTCTGCTTCTGCTCCTGCCACCATGCCGTCCTGCCTGCTGCCGTGTCTTCCTCACCATGATGGACTCTATCCCTCTGGGACTGTGAGCCAAATAAGCCCTTTGTCCCTTACATCATCCTTGCTGTGGCTATTCAGTCACATCCACAGAAGAGAAACTAACACACATGCGTTCTAGGGATGAAACTCAGGTCCCAAGGGTTTGCAAGGCAAGTGCTCTTCCCTTTTGTAGCCAGGCATATTTTTTATTAGTGGCATCTTTTTGTTTTTAGCATGGCATCATTTACCACACTACCATACCTTCAGTGATATACAGTGGGAGCATCATATATGCCAGGAATAGGTGCTCAATAGATGGTAGTAATATAGATGGTTATATGGTGTTACTATATAAAAGGGTACTATACTGGCCATGGTTAGGATGTGTCTCCAAGCTGGGCCCCCACTTGGCTCTATCACGGGGTGATGGGAACAGTAGGATAGGAGGCCTGAAGTGAGGTCTGGAGTTGGGGTGTGCCTTCCAAAGAAATTGCCAGGCCCTGGCCTCTTTCTCACCCTTACATTCTGGCTGTTTCAGTGAGCAGTTTTGCTCGGTCATGTGCTCCCACCACAGTGTGTCACCACAGCCCCAAAGCGATGGGCCCAATTGAGAGTGGAGTGTGACCTTGGAAACTATGAGCAAAAATGAACTTTCTGTCCCAGTGTGTTGATTACATCAGGTGCTCTAGTAAGGGAGCCTGACTAATCCAGCTGAGGAATGGCAGCCCCGGCATCACGCTACCGTAACGTTCTGTAACTGGCATGTCCATTCCTCGGTACAGCTTCCTGTTCTAGGCACATTGATCTTTTCTTCTTACAGGCTACATAATTTTCCTTAACTTTATGTGTCCACATAAATGTCTAGTCATTCTCATCCTATCACCCAGTCTTCCTTTTTCACTGCTCCAAACAAGAATGACACATCTCTTCCTAGAAACATCACACAGATTCCAGAGGCAGAATCAACTTTTTAAATGTTTTAAACATGGGATTGTCTTTCCCTAGAGCCCCCAAAGGCTGTCTTCACACCAAGCCTTCCTTCTCCCAAGGAGTTGGGGCCCTGCATTTGTCAGCTTTCCATTGCTATGGTAAAACATCTGAGAGAAAAAAATGGAAAGAAGAAAGGTTGATTTGGGCTCAGAGTTCCATGGCCACCTGCCCCCCCTGGCTTTCAGGATAGTGACAGGACAGAAATGTCATAGCAGAAGAGGCCAATGCAGTGACTTCTCAGCCACTTCCTCCAATCGGCTCAACAACCTAAAGCTCATTCAGTTCAAACTCATCCATAGATTCATCCATGGACACACCTAGTGTCTCGCCACGCAGTGACCCCTCTGCCCTTGCCATCTGGTGAACTCTCTGTCCTCGCCAACCAGTGACCTCTCCACAGACCAAGACTTTGGCATGTGAGACCCTGAGAGGAGATTCCTTACCTAAACCATGACAAACAGCTGGCTCTGGCCTCTCTCTCTGCATCCCACCTTGTCTGCAGCCCCCTGAGGAAATCATATATTATCTCCCTCCTGTGCCCAGAGCCTCTAGACATTGAGTGTTTTATGTCCTCCTCTCTGTTTCCGCCCCCGAACTTCCATTTTTGCACCCAGCTTCATTTTAATTTTCCACACGACTGCAGCGACCTGCATCCAGAACGCCAGGAAACCCAATCGGGTGATTTTTTTTTTCCTCCTAACCTCCAGGCCTCACAGAGGCCAGGCTCAGCCTCTGCTGCTGGCTTGCTTTGCTGGGAAAGCGTTTGACCCTCTGAATCTGCCTGATCATGGTCACCTACTCTGAAGAGACATGAAGACTGGCCTAGACAGATGAGGCAGGCCTCCCTCCAGAACTGCAGGCCTTCTGGCTGTTTCTGGAACATACTGGCC